CGTTCTCATCCTTAGTTTTTGTGGTTGGTGTAGGGAATAAATTGTAATTAGATTTTGATGATGCTAAGCTAATTAGGATTTTAGAGTACCCCCTTTTTAGAAATCTTGTATTAGAATTTTCTTTGTGTAAGTAATAGCATAGTCGACTGGCCAGAAACCCTATTGGAACTCTTGATCAGAATTGCTACCAGAGCTACTCATCAGAGTTTCTACCAGAGCTGCTCATCAGAGTTGCTAGCAGAGTTGCTTTTCAGAGTTGCTATCAGAGCTGGTCATTAGAGATGCTACCAAAGTTGGGCACCAGAGTTGCCATCAGAATCGGCCATCAGAGTTTCTATAAGAGAACCTCATCAAACTTGCTGACACCTAGAAAAATGCGAAGGCACCTGAAATAATCGTTAAACTAACGGGAAATTTTCTAACGGCTAGGAGCCACTCAACGGAACATGCTACTATTCACGCATTTAATGCTCAGTTAATGAGCTTCACACGTTGAGATATTTAAAGCTGATGATTGACCAGGATAAGATTTTCATGCCCCCAAAATAGCAAGTCGCCTACATTATATGGATCAACCGGTCAAATCTACAGTACGTGCATTTAATGCAGTTGTCTCCCTCCTCCAATGGGAACACAGTCCCAATATATATGATACAACATGAAGAACAACCGGATAACTCTTTCTCTCTCTACACCATTCAAACAAGCTTTCTTGAGATATCAACTTCATCTTCCTCAACAAGAAAAGCCTAACGTCGGAAAGATATCATTTTCATATCTTTCTTCCAACAAGAGCAAAGTTCATCCTATTCTTCAACACTTCAAGCACTTCATCTACACATCTTTTGTGACGAAGCAAGTTGGAGAAACCCCTGTTCTTATAGAACCATCTTCTTTTCAAAGAAGGACGTCCAAAGTAACTGGAGTAGTGAAGTGGGGATACTTCAAGGAGACTCAGTGAAAAGGAGCAGTCATCAGGAAGCTAGGAAGAACATCACGGGTGACAACTAAGCTTGAAGAGGACGAGGTGAGCTTCTTAAGTGCTAGGACTAAGGCATTGTAAACTGCTGTTTTTGCAAGCTTAGTGGAACAGTGGATTAGAGGAACGCGTTGTTCCTTGAACCAGTATAAAAACCCCGGTGTCATTTACTTTACGCATTTACTTTCCTGCACTTAGATTTTAACTGCTTAACTCCCAAACACATGGACTCCGTGTTCAGCAGATCTTGCCCTAAGTGTGTTTCTGAAGGCTATCCGACCAGAACTACCACCAAAATATCCGCTGTCAAGTCTGTTAAGACTTAGACAAAAAGTTTGAAACCTGAACAGTCTATTCACCCCCCCCCCCCCCTCTAGACTGTTCCTTGTGTAAACGGGACCAACAGTTGCTCCTGTTGTGCATCCAATGTTTTAAAAGGCGCTAGGCGCTAGTCGGGCGCTAGCCCAGCGCCTAGCGCCTAGGCGGCTAGGCGGGCGCCTAGTCGAGGACTAATCGGAGACATAAAAATTTCATTTTTATCTATATTTTTGCATAAATATGATAAGCAATATTGTATTTTTGTATGAATGAAATACACACACATATATACACACATACATATATACATTAACAAACATGAATGATAAAATTATCACATTTAATCATACATAGTATATGATAACTAATCATTAACTTCATTATGTTATAAATATAAATAATGATACAATTTAGGTATATATACAAACATATATAGTTTTATCTTAACTTACAACTTCATTTCTTTATATTCATGGCTAAAGTTAAACTGCGTATATCGCTTAGAAAATTAGAATTAAAAAGTAAAGTAATGTTTGGCGAATTTAGATGACCTAGGCAGCCGATTAGGCGCTCTATACAGACAACTAGGCGCCATAGACGGCCGACTAAATCACCTAGACGGCAAACCTATTAGTCGGAGCGCCTAGACGAAAATCGGGACGCCCGGCCACCGCCTAGCGCCTAGGCGGGGACTAGTCGGGCGCCTAGAACGATTTTTAGAACAGAGTGTGCATCCATATAAAGTTTTGTGATGTTTGACCAATATGTGAGGTGTTTTTGATCCATACCTTTTGAGACGTCTCCACCAGCATGAATATATGCCCATGTTAAGGCCACATCTTCATGGATGGTCCAAGTAATCGATGTACTAGCTCGTCCATCTTTTTTCTTCGTACTCTTGCTCGGTGATGAGACTAACTCTGTGTTTGCCTCAACTTCGTCCTCCACATCACCAAGATTTACAGAAGTCGCATTTTCACGACTTACCTCACGAGCAAACATTGAAGGATCATGGTTGAAGTTCATGTGAGGCATACCGTTGAAGTTTTGTGGTAGTGGAGAAAAAAACTCTGCTGAGTAGAAAAAAGATTCAGATCTTGTGGAAAATAGTTTATTTTTGGAGTAAACATGTGTCCATTATTTAATGGACCAGTAGCATGAGAATATTCTACAGAATTAGAATTATTTTTCCATAGCTGCATAGCCATTCCAAAATTCGGATGAGAAGGATCAATTTCGAAATTTCTAACGGAAGATTGTTGTGCAGAATGAGGAATTCTTTGGAATGTGGGTTGTTGGTGTAGTATCGAGGGGGAGAACTAAGGGAGAGCATCGGACGGGTTCGGGTAGGATGGGTGAAGATTTGGCATACCCGGTCGGTTTTCGGGTTAGGAATTTAAAACCCTACCCTGTTCTATAAAAATGTCGGGCTGTTCGGGTTGTCCAATTTCGGATTCCGGTCAGTTTGAATCAGATATTCGAGGCCATTCGGGTTGATTAAAAACCATTAAATAACATAACATACAATATCAGTTATCACATTAAAATTATAAGTTTGTGAAACAATACAACATTACATTACAATACAAGTAACAACTAACAAGTAGCAAAATAATAGAGTTTGTACTTTTACTTTGTACAACTCCAAGCACACTTAATTAGTTATACAGTTGTTACCTAAATACTTATACATAATACAGTTTGAGAATAGACTTTGAGTAATCCAAAGTTCCAAAATAGTAAGTAGCAACAAAAAATTTAACATTCAACATTTTAATGGGGGCAGATCTTGAATATAGTTCCTTCTTCCAATCTCCCATAGTTCCATCATTCCATGTGTGTAGCAGACCAGCAACAAAATACTCATTGAATATGTTCCTATATATGCACATCACAAGTTAAAAAATTATAGACTAGTAGTGTTTAGGTTTCAGATTTAGATTCACTTCAAAAAAATATGTATGACAGGATGAATACTAAATGCAATCAGGTTTGGCTCAGGTTTAGCTTCACTTCACAAAAAAATGGGGGCATTAAAAACTATATAGAAATAGAATCAACACCAACTCATTTGTTTTTGCAACCTGGTAGAAGTGTAGAAGGGTAGCAGAGTAGCAACTTTCATCATTGCCACAAATAAGTAAACTATTGATCTACCATCAATTTCATTACTTGGTAGAAATGGGGGGGGGGGGGGGGGGGGGGGGCATAAGAAAGTACATAGAATTATAGAAATAGAACCAACACAAGCTACTTAGCTACCATCAATTTCATTACTTGGTGAAAGGTATCATCATTTCATTACTTGGTGAAAGGTATCATCATTTCCAGAAATATGGAACATTGGAACAAATAGTATACATATACAATATCATATTCAAGTACTTCCAGCAAAGTGGTAGTAGCAGGAGCATAGTTTGGCTCAGATTTGCATCCATTTCACTATTAATGGGGGCATTGAAACTATATAGAAATAGAATCAACACCAGCTACCATTAATTTCATTACTTGGTGGAAGCTATCATCATTGCCATAAATATGGAACACTGGAACAAATAGTATACAGATACAATGTCATATTAAAGTATTTCCAGCAAAGTGCAAGTAGCAAGGGCATAGTTTGACCGGAAACAACAGATGAGAGGATGGGTTAGAGAGAGGTCGGAGTAGAGGAGATGGTCAGAGGGAGTTTCCGGTTGCGAGTGAAGAGTGAAGTAGTAGGGTTAGGTTTAGGGTTAAATGTTTAGTATATATACCTAGGGCTATTCGGGTTTTTCGGGCGGGTCGGGTAGCCAATTTCTAAACCCTACCCGTAACCCATTCCCTTAAATATTGGGCTGGGCATATTCGGTTCGGATTTTCGGGTTCGGGTCAATCGACCCAGGCGGGTAAATGAGGGTAAACCCGATCGGGTTTTCGGGTGGGTTCGGGTTATGCTCACCCCTAGGGAGAACGGTTTGGATCCATTTTCAGGGAGATTTTTTATTTTAATTTTTTGGTATATGTTTTTGTTAAAATAAATTAATTTAATTCATGAAATATTAAATTAAAGAGTTGGGGGTAGTTGGTGGAGTTTGTGGCTACAAATTTGGGAGGAGAATTGCATTTCGACACTCCACAAGTCCACTTGGCTAGATCAAAGAAATTCATCAGATTTCATTTTTGATCTAGCAACTTGATGGGTCATAGGATGACCTTTCATTGTGGGGTCAACTCCCATTATTTTTATTTTTTTATCTAAGTTGACCCTCCATCGTGAATACTTTATAGAGTCACTTTCAACATTTTTTACACGTAACTTCAAAAATATTTGATAATAGAGATTTCTCTTAAACCTGAGATCGTCACATTCCTCTTCATTCAATATCAGACCCAGTCAATTTAATCAGCCTTTCACATTATCATTCCCATTCATATAAGGGAATTTTCCCAGTTATTCATCCCTTCACTTTTTTAGAAATCTTACCACAAAAAGCCAGTGGCAAACCCGTAATACCCTCCCCATTCCGATGGCAATCTCGTACACCGCCCGGGGACAAAATCCAACCTGGCAAATTCCCATTTCCGCAAACGGTCAAGTTGAAATCACGCTTAACGAAAGGTTAACGAATCCGCCATTTCTTATGTTCTCCGTGGGCAAATCCGTCATTACGCCTCTGCTATAAGTATGCCGCCCTTCGCTTTCCAGCGCTCTCCTACTGTACAAAACCCAAACAGCACCGACCCTCCCCTTCTCTCACTTAACTTTTCTCCCAGCAGCCGTCGCCGCGTCTCCGCCGCCGGAGGAAGTCCCCGGTACTTCGCGCATCAACGGTCGTCGTCGTTTCTGACTTTCTTCCCAGACGAGCATGTATTAATTTCATCAATTTTGGATTTTTTGGAACAGAAAGGTGTGTATTGCGCGTGTTCCACACACACACGTTAATACCGTGGTTAACTGGAAGCTATTATCGTCATTGGAGTGTGACAGCGGTGTTTGGTCAAACCGTACAGTTGACCGTGTTTGGGTTCAATCGCCGAGCCCTCGGAAGGAGAGGGAGTTTTAAAACGGGGTTCTGTGAAAGTATGAAACGCCGTCGTGTGGAGATGATTTCACTGGTTTAACCTGGATATATTTGCGGGGAGTAAAGAGGGAAAGACGGTGCAAATGGGGCGGTTGGGGGTGGGGTTAGTCATGGGATGTGCGGTGGCGGCGTGTGTAGTGGCGACTGTGGTGGTGGGCAGACGGGTAAGGAGGCGGAAGAAGTGGCAGAAGGTGGCATCGGTTCTGGATGAGCTGGAGGAGGCCTGCGCCACGCCTGTTGGGCTACTGCAGAAAGTAGTAGATGCTATGGCGGTCGAGATGCATGCCGGCCTTGCATCTGAAGGCGGGAGCAAGCTTAAGATGTTGCTCACATATGTGGACAATCTTCCCAAAGGGTATGTTCTTTTACATTCAATTTGAATACAAGCGTTCACTTTAATGTAATTGAAGGATGGACTGTTTGAATGTGTTTTAGTTTTTGTGGTTCTGAGAATGGTCACGTGTTTGATTTCTTGGAGTCGAGCTGTACAGACCTCACTGCTTGCCAAAACCAAAAGATTCAATTTGCTTTAAATAGAACAGAACTGCTTAACTTCATATTTATTGTTTGGTGCTTCTTGTATTTGCGTTTTGTCATTTTCATTGGCGTTCCAATGGGATTATACATGATCTTAGACCCTTTTCTCATCCAATCACTTTTTCTGATCTGTATCTAAACCGTGAGTTGTGGATTCCTACTTAAAGGTGATTTAAGTTGAATTTGGCGTTTGATTCCTAGAGATTTTTAAAAAAAAATACACCGTGCACTTTATCACAAGGCCTAAGTCACTTTATGTCGCATCTAGCCTAGATTCACTTTATATCTTTTTGAGTTGGCAGTGTTGACACATTGTTCATCAGCCTCAATTTGTGGAAGAATGGAAGATATATTTCATTACTCAATTTTGTAGGGCAGGGTGGTCCTTGTTGTTTTTTTCTCCAGGACATTTTAAAACTCTTGCGTCTTTTGCTTTGTGGTGTGAACATGGATAATTTGTTGTCTGGTGAAGTTTTTATGTTTAATCAAACATTCAACTTATTAGATTTTACAGTGGCGCTTCACAAGCAGAAGCAATCAAATCTGCTTTGTTATGTAAGCTGTTCTATCAGTGGTGCAGTATACTTGACGTAAATTTTATACGATGTGTTGACAGTACTGGATGAGTGTTTTTATAGTTTTCTCCTTTGTAATACACTAATAATGGAGTTGTATTCCCAATTATTGTTGGTTCCCTTGGTTTGACTTAAGAGACACTCTTGCTGCTGACAATAATTTTGTTACCTAGAAACACAACAGTAGTGTGTCCACCTATTTCTAGAAGTAATAATTGCACATGCTCCAATGTTGATCTGGTTACCTGTGTGGGTCTATCAATTGTTCATTTGTTGTAATCGTAAGTAAGAGTAACATGGGGCTTCCAACTATGTTTTTAAAATTCAAGAAAAACAAAAAGCTTGTAGGTGTCATTTGTATGCTTGTTATTTGATTGTTCGTTTTTTTTTGTTACTCTTCTATCGATTTATGAGTTGGTGTATGTAGTAGTGAGAAGGGAACATATTATGCTCTGGACCTTCGAGATACAAACTTTCGGGTTCTTCGGGTTCAGCTTAGTGGTCAAAGGTCTACTGCTCTCAGACCTGATGTACTGCAACATACCATTCCTCAACGTTTACTGAGCGGCACCAGTGAGGTGACTGACTTTGTCTTCTATGGGTTTTTCTTCTAAATTGACATGTCAATTCAATTTAGTTGTTGATTTTGCATGTGTTATATTTTTCTCCACCTTGGTTTTATTATCATGAAGGAACTATTCGATTCAATTGCATCATCATTGAAGGATTTCATTGGAAGGGAAAATGACAACTGTGAACACTTGCAAGATGGGAGAAGCCTTGGCTTCACATTTCCTTTTCCAGTCAAGCAAACTTCTCTCTCATCTGGCAACTTGATCAAGTGGACCCAAGGATTTGAAATAAAAGACATGGTTAGATTGATATAGATCTTGAATTTTATCATCACATTTAGTTAACTCTGCCTGGATGGCTTTACGTATGTGCTAGCATGATACGTTTATGGATTTTACATGCATAAATTTAGAGTATAGCCTATGTTCATGTAACAAAAATTCTCACTTGTTTATGTGTGTTGATGATGGATGGCATAATGATTGCCCTAATTTTCATTTGACAAATATATATCTATAGTGCAATACTGCAATACATTAGACATTTAGTGAGTTACGGAAAAAACCCTGAACTGGTCCCTCGGCTTTCTTGGCACTTTCGTGTACGATTCTTGACATTGTTTTACATCTACGATCTTTGGAATCAAGTCTCCTGTGGAAAGTCATAGTAAATTCTCACATGATTGACATGTGACATTTTTCAATAGGGTAAATTTGTCCATTAATATGACTGTCTCAGAAAATCTCATCTCAACTCTGACCATATCTCGAACTAATGAAAAAATCATATCAAGGATTTGGGTGATATGATCTAGGTTTTGCAGTTGCTTTTACCAGAAAGTTGATTGGACACTGTAAATGGAAAGATCTTAAAAGCTGTGCACTTTAAGAGTTTCAGTCAAATAAATGGAAGTCTATGATTGTGGGTGAGAATTTCATGAAAGTTGACGGACCATTACTGGATTTAGTTTGTAGAAAGTCAAACCAATGCTCAAATGATCATCTATGAACTACATAATATTTTTATAAAGTTAGTTTCTAATTTTCTTTAGTATTTGCTAGTCATGGTTTGATAATTCATTGACCATTGTGTTATATTACCACTGTAAAATTAATGGGGCTTGGGGGATGACAATACACCAGACAGGCAAGCCTGCCTAGTTTCTTTTTTTTGCCATGCAGTGAACATGATTTCTCTTAATGAATAAATAAGGTGAAAGGATGGATGTCTTGTTTCTGAATGGCATTTGACTGTTTTGAATGTGCAATACTTGACTCGCTGTCTGCTTTCTTTACTGAAACTTATGAAATCAGGAATCCTTACTTTGTTTCAGGTTGGAAGAAATGTTTGTGAGTGCCTGCAAGTTGCAATTGCTAGAACAGGTCTAGATGTTCGAGTAGCAGCATTGGTAAGAATTTAAATGAGATCAACTATTTGTATCAATTTTCTTCTCACATATTCACTACTATTTTAGGATTATAAATTTGTTTTCACAGCATTTGGTTTCCGTATTGGGCAGGTTAATGATACTGTGGCAACACTAGCGCTCGGACATTACAATGATGAAGACACAGTTGCAGCTGTTATATTTGGGAAAGGTACTAATGCTTGCTATGTGGAGCGAGCTGAAGCAATCATAAAATGCCAAGGGCTTCTAACAACTTCAGGAAGCATGGTATTCGTCTCTCATTTTTTTTCAAATTGCTATTGTGAATATGATATTATTATCTGGAAAGGCTGATTGGTATATATATTAGGTAGTTGATATGGAATGGGGAAACTTCTGGTCATCTCATTTACCACGAACATCATATGACAGCGACTTGGATGCTGATAGCCCAAACCCTAATGATCAGGTAGCGTTTGGTATGTTTTGAAACTTTCTCAATCAGGACGATATGTGTTTTCTGCTGATCACCTCTATGGCGCATTGTTTGTTTTCCAGGGGTTTGAGAAAATGATATCAGGAATGTATCTGGGGGAGATAGTAAGAAGAGTTCTTCTTAGAATGTCTCAGGAGAGTGATGTTTTAGGGCCCGTGTCTTCAAAATTAGCAACCCCATTTTTGTTGAGGTATATTCCTCTTTGAGTCAATGCTTGTGTGCGTGTGTATGCAAACTATACAGGGAAAAGGGAAACAGTGTGGTGTATTGTGGTCAAGTGGAGGAATATTCTCTCCTTAGAAAGGTTGCAAATGAGAAACAACCAATTGATAAATTGAACATGGGTGGCAAGGCTAGTATCTCCTTAGCTGTTATAAATAGCACTCGTAGGTCAATTACAGCCTGACATACCCTCGGTAGGTGACAACACAAAATTACTTCTTATTTTTTCCCAATCATATTAATCATCTAGGGTTACTATCATCTTTGCATCTACAAATATTTTCACTTGGGGATGTATTAAAGCTGACTGGTAATGATTTTTTGTTTTTCTTAGTTAATTAGTGGTGCTTCTGTAAGTATTCATGTAATTAATTAGTTAATTACAAACATATACTAGCTTTTCTATCCTCCTTTTCCACATTGTCCATTTTGTTGATCCATATTAAGTTTTCTTTCCATTCATGGTTTTAGGACACCCCTTATCGCAGCTATGCATGAGGATGATTCACTTGAATTGAGTGAAGTAGCAAAAATTCTAGGAGACATCCTGGAGGTATGTTGTTCATCATTTCATCATATTCTGTTTGCATTCTAGTGTTGCGATAAATGCACATGCTCCTTAACACCTTTGCATCATAATTTATGCATGTCCGTCTCAAAAGAGAAGTCCTATTTAACCAATGTACACTTTTTAATTTAGTTGTTGGTTTTGATGGAAAACCTTTGGTCGGGCCCATGTGTTTTGGCCAAGCATCTAAGTCACTACGGCCTCAGCAGGGCCTAGCATCTTCATCACTTTGATCAGCCAGGCGATCAGACATGATTCTTTGTCACACTGGAGCTAGCTGGCAACTGTAACCTTAGTGACAAGCCTAGATTAGGTACACCTCCAACCAGGTGATGGCATGTCCTTGACACCTTACATGTCTGCTAGGAAGCTAGAATTCTAATCAATATGGATCATTTGTACAACCAGCGCTGTAGTCTTGTACGACTATACAGTTTATTTGTACTTTTGTAGTCACGTCCCATCATCCAATTGTCTGTACCTGGACCCTAGCTGCTTTCATTTGAACCCCCTTGCTGACTTTCTGGTATTTGTTTACCTCCTCCTCCATCCGGTTATGCCAGTTTGGCTAAGATGAAGACAAATGGTCGCCCTGTCCCTGTTAAATAAGTCTATCAGGTTGAACTAAATATGTCACATGCAACTTGTTGTGACACTTTTGGTCACTTTTGGCTAATTGCATAACAAAATATGTTTCTTTTGATGAACCCGGACGTTTTATTTAGGCGAAATAAACTAGGACTCTTTTTGGGCATGGATGGAGTAGTATATAGTTAATTATGCTTCCTTTTTTTGTTGTTGACAAATTCCATCTGTTATAGTTACCAGGTGTCCCTGTTAAACTTCGAAAGCTAGTGGTGGCAGTGTGTGATGTGGTAACTCGCCGAGCTGCTAGGTTGGCTGCTGCTGGTATTGTGGGGATATTGAAGAAGATTGGGCGAGATGGGACCGGTGGCATAGCTAGTGGGAAATTAAGAAGTGGAAGGTCAAATAGGATGAAAAGAACGGTTGTGGCCATCGAAGGTGATTTGTATACTAGCTACTCCTCATTCAGAGAATACTTGAATGAAGCAGTGGTAGAGATCTTAGGGGAAGAAGTGTCCTCACATGTTACCATTTCAGCTACTGTAGATGGATCAGGATTAGGGGCAGCACTTCTCGTGGCATCTCATTCAGCACATCCAGTGTGAATATGGTACAGGTGCTATGATACCTAATTTATACAATATTATATATAGCTCTGTAAATTGTAGAAGTGATTTGTCCGTAAAAAATTATATACTTCGTATATGTAAAAGGGTAAAATATTATTTTGTAAATACAACTATATAAGTGGTATAATATAAGGTCTGATTTATAGTGTTAGGGCATCTCCATTCTATTTCAATGTGATCCCATTCAATTGGAATTTCAATTTATTGATATTTTTATGAACTCAGTTTCTCTTCTAATTATATGGAACCCGAAAGAGCTGTGTAAAATGTAAACAGAGGTGGCAGTTGAATGATGTCCATTCGTTGTATTTGTTTAATTTATTTATATGCAATTATTTTCTCGCCGTATCCTTCAATGATTATTGATCTTTTGTTTATTACTACGTATGAGGTACGAAATGCCTCTGGCGTAGGTGTCTGTAATTTCTTTCCACAGCTTGCTGGTAGAAAGTAGACTATGCTGCGCAAGAAGACAACCCAACACCCTTTCTTTGGGCTCTCGTAGAAAAGAAATTGTTGATTTATTATTATTTAATTTATTTGGCATCAGTAGTGGGGCACGGTTCCGGAGCCGGACCAGATTGTTACTCGGCACATAAAGAACTTGACCGGTGGCTTGGATTTCTGGCTATGCAAAAAACGAGACCAGAACTGGATCGGGGCTGGAACCAAGACTGACTTTCTTGGTTAATGACTGGTTCCTCCCTAGTCTCTCTCCTGTACACAGGACTGGTCCGGAATTGGAACCGTCTCGGGTCTGTGCCAGAGCCTTAGGTATCAATGAAACAAGGTGGGGGTTAGTGTAATTTTACATAGCAACAGTAAACTATATGACTCAAGCGCCCCTCAGCGGCAAGAGTTTGAAACTTGAAAGCATTTTTTTGTATTAGATTTTGGATATCTCATTTCTTAAATCTTAGATAGGCATGAACCATGTTTGTACGTTGACACCTATACTTTTTGTAGAACGGCAAAAACATTTAGTTGTGGGCTTGTGGCTATCTAAATTTATGGCTCCACCACTATGTGTGTAGTGGTGGACTCGGTTCGAGCCGGGCCCGGTTCGGGCCTAGAACCGGCCGGGCCTCAGTTCACGGAAGGCAGGCCCGGAACCGGCCCGGATTACCCCGGGTCCGGTTCGGTTTGGGTCACCTGCCCGGTTCACGGGCCGCCCGCCTGGCCGGGCCTTTTAATTTTTTTTATTATATATTATATTATTAGAATAATTCTTATTACAATATATTATATTCGAATTCAAGTATGTTTATTTCAAATAAGAAGTACAATTGAGAATTAGGATGAATTTAAAAAATGTAATACATTTTGTAATAAAAAATCAATCGGGATCTCCGCCTTCGGTTGTTTCCTCCATAAAGTGGTGGGTGGGAGTGATGGTAATTTCTTGATTTCTTCGTTGGGCCTTCAATCAATCGTGAAAGCAAACTAGTGTCTCAAGAGAGCTCGGGTTCAACCTCGTTCTATAATCGGTTAGGACGTTGTCGGTCGCACTAAATTCTTGTTCCACGGCAACGGTTGATATCGTCATTGCTAGTATTTGCTTAGCCATCTTTGATAAAATCAGGAATGTTCTTTCATTTTCCTTCCACCATTTAAGAACGTCAAAGTCATCACCAACTTCATAATCAACATTCAATGTTAGATACAAAGAAAGCTCGTTACCTGAGCTTAGGGATGGATTCGGGCCGGGTCGGGCCTGGGTCGGGCCTAGGCCCGGTCGGGCCGCCGGTTCTAGAATAGTGGGCCCGGGACCGGCCCGAGGGTTGGACGGGTCCGGTTCGGGCCGGGCCACCCGCCCGGGTCACGGGTCGGGCCACCCGCTGGGCCGGGCCGGGCCGGGTAATTTTTTTTTTTAATTTATATTTTATACTTTATAGTTTTATATAAGTATTAAAAAACAAACTTCAAGTGCATTTATTTGAAATGAAATAGGAACTACATTTGAAAATTAAATAGGAACTATAATTGTTTTTAATCGGAATCTTCGTCATAAGTAGAGCCACCCTCTGTAGATTCATCCATAAAGTGTTGGGATGGAGTGATGTCAATTTCTTGAGCTCTACGTGCTGCTTTCAACCAATCGTGGTAGCATATAAGCATCTCAAGAGATTCAGCGCTCAATCTCGTTCTGGTTTGTGTTAGAACATTGCCGGACGAACTAAATTCTTGTTCCACGGCAACCGTTGAAACCGGCATTGATAGCACTTGCTTAGCCATCTTTGCTAAAACCGGGAACATTCTTTCCTTTCCCTTCCACCAGTTTAGTACGTCAAAATCATCATCTTCTTCAAAATCAACATCATAAGTTAAATACAAAGAAATCTCATTAATTGTGCTTTGTTGTGTAGCGGGAGTTGATTTTGTTTTTTTAATAAGATTGGCAAACGTAGATTTGAAAATTGATTTTCCTTTAGATGATGTTTGTGTCGGGGGAGGGGGCGCATTGCCATATTGTGCATGAAACTCATTGAATAATGCATAAAATATATCACTAACCTCGTTGTATTCTTTTTTCGGATCAATTGGGTTGTCCTCATACATTGGCAATGGACCAAAAAAAGCAGCATAATAATAATTCAAACATTCTTCTAAAGAACCAAGTCTAAAACGAGGATCGAGAACAAATGCAATACCATAAATATGCGGAATATGTGAATAATATTTTAAAAACTTTTCCTTCATAAAACCAGCAAAATAATTCACATAATCAGCATTCTCAAAATTTGAAAAAGCACCGGCGAGATTAACGGCTTCACGAATAAATTGGTTTGAGGTAGGTTTATAAACATGACTAAAAGTTTCAGTTGCATTATTAAAATATATCAAAGCATTACAAATTTTTTCACAGGTGTCGATCTCAGCCGAGTTTATAATATAGTTATCATATTGTTTCATAAAAGCAGGAAAATGTTGTTTATATCTAAGAAGAACTCCAATTAACTTATAGGTACTATTCCAACGAATAGACAAATCTTTTGGAAAAGCCACATATCTCTCACCTCTTTCTATCAAATAATCATGCCATTTTTTCCTAAGGTGTCCATTACCCCAAATACGTCTAATCCCCCCCTTGACTACCTCCAACGATGCTCCCAACGCTTTTAGACCATCTTGCACACATAAATTTAGAGCATGACATGCACATCGTTGATGAAAAAATCTACCCATCAAAGAAGTAGAACCACACAATTCACACAATCTAGGAATAGCAGCAGTATTATTAGTAGCATTATCAAAACCAATAGCAAACACCTTATCAATTAAATTATACTCAATTAAAATACGTTCAATCAAAATATAAATATGTTCAGCGGTGTGACGATCATTAAATTCACGGAAAGCAAGAACACGTTTATGCATATGCCAATCATTATCAATATAATGTACAGTCAGACCCAAATAATGTAAATTATGATAAGTATCCTCCCATATGTCAGAACATACAGTAACACGTCCATCAAAGTTTGCAAAATAATTTTGTAACCTTACCTTTTCCGCACCATAAAGCCTTGAAATTTCTTTCTTAACCGTTTTGCGACTATAACCTCTATATTGCGGATTTAAACAAGTTTGTGCATAATCACGAAAAGCAAGACTTTCAGAAAACAAATAAGGCAAATTTTCTTCAACAAGTAAATTAGCCATACCTGTCAAATTTTGTGCATCATTGTATGAGAAATTACCAAAAGCTTGTTGGTTATTTGCAAACCTCGATATTTGCGTTTGCTTCCCCGTTCCGCCGCCTAATTTTGCATACTCCACCGGGTGTTTGGACTTAAGGTGTCTTGTGGCGGATCCGTATCCGCCGGAAATCCCCAAGCTATAGTTTTTCTTGCACCAATTGCAAGTTGCGGTCCAATTCCCGGTGTTCGGGTCCTTCCACTTAGAAAAATTATTAGCCATTAATTCAGATTTACTTTTTTTTGTACCTGTTTGGGATGAGGCTGCTTGGTCGGTGTCATGGCTGCCGCCACCCTCCTCCTCCTCGTCGTCGTGGCTCTCCGGAATTGCTTCCTCCACATCGTCGTCCTCGTCCTCGAGCTCTTCTTCGTCAATGGTCCTTGGTTGGTCTTGAAAAAAGCGGGAATTATGTCGGTGCAATTCTTGTTCTAGTTGTTCGTCGGTCATCGCATCCCCATCCCTCCTTACGTAACCCGTATCAAAATCATCTTGACTTTGAGATGAAGAGCCGATATGTGATTTACCTTTGCGGGATCTCTTCCTCGCAAGCTCGTTCGTTCGGTTGCGCTCGAGGTTACCCATATCAACCGAATATCTAGGACGATCCATCTAAAAAATGTAGCAATTAATAAAAAATTGTAAAAAACTAATTAACTATTTATCTAACTATTAATTCGAGTTATAGCAAATTAAGTAGTGAATTAACTAGTTTTGTGTACAACATATTTTTTAAACTAGAGTCAAATGTAGCAATTAATAAAAAATTGTAAAAAACTAATTAACTATTTATCTAACTATTAATTCGAGTTATAGCAAATTAAGTAGTGAATTAACTAGTTTTGTGTACAACATATTTTTTAAACTAGAGTCAAATGTAGCAATTAATAAAAAATTGTAAAAAACTAATTAACTATTTATCTAACTATTAATTTGAGTTATAGCAAATTAAGTAGTGAATTAACTAGTTTTGTGTACAACATATTTTTTAAACTAGAGTCAAATGTAGCAATTAATAAAAAATTGTAAAAAAACTAATTAACTATTTATCTAACTATTAATTCGAGTTATAGCAAATTAAGTAGTGAATTAACTAGTTTTGTGTACAACATATTTTTTAAACTAGAGTCAAATGTAGCAATTAATAAAAAATTGTAAAAAACTAATTAACTATTTATCTAACTATTAATTTGAGTTATAGCAAATTAAGTATTGAATTAACTAGTTTTGTGTACAACATATTTTTTAAACTAATTAAACAAGTGTAAATAATAGAATAATTTCGTACCTCTTTCGGACTTTCGGTCTTTCGGATGGGAGTAATAGAATGACTTCAAACTAATTAGATATAATTCCAACTATATTAATAGATATAATAAATATATAAGTAATATATAATTAGATAACAAATATAAGTAATATAATACTATTTATATCTATTTATAGTTTATATAAGTAGATAATTAATATAAACTATAAATAAAAAATATAATATATTGGAGAATGGAGAATAAGAGAATTAGAGAGTAGAGAGTTAAGAATAGGATTTAGGAAGAATTGGAGAAGAGATATGAAAAAATGTTTAAGATTAGGAGTATTTATAGGTTTTTTTACCCCCCACCCCCCACCCCACCCCCCACCACCCCACCCCCCCCGGACCCCCCCTTTACCCCACCCAACGGCTATATAGCCGTTTGGGTTGTCCCCAGCCCCACCCCCAACGGCTAGTAGGAGCCCAAATTAAAATAAAAAAAAAAATTGAACCGGACCCGGGCCCGGGCCCGACCCGGCCGGGCCGGGTCACAAAAATGCTGAACCGAGCCCGCCCCGCCCCTTCCCCCCGGTTCGGGCCCAGACCCGGTCCCGGACCGCCCGACCGGGCCGGTCCCGGGCCCGCACAGTACCGGGCCGGGCCGGGTCACGGGCCGGGTGGCCCGAACCGAATCCAACCCTACCTGAGCTTCGTTCAGTAGCGGGATGATGGATAATTGATACCCATATTGTATGAAAAGGAGAGATTGAACAGGAAAGAAGGAGAAGAAGTAGTATTGTGTATGAATATGAGTTTGTGTGTAGCCTCCTAAAGGAGTATATATAGGGAAAATCCGGGTCTGGGCCTCTAATATGGGCCAGACAGACCCGGTTACATAAATGGACTGATAGTATAAAAAGCTAATCTGGAACATCTGAATAACAATAATAATGTACAATAATATGAATGATGATGGATAGTCTACCCGGGGGTATATATCCGAGGAGTTAATGCTGGGAATAACTTAGAGAGAAGTCAGAGCAAGTAAA